ATATTTTAGTATTTTATATAAAAATATGAAATACTTTATGTAATGTAAATAAGAATTTCATTTAATAAATATGAGAACACATTTTCTGCCTTCCAAAGGATGTGCATAGAAGATTCTTCATCCTATCATTCATTCATTCCTTTGGAAAATGATTTTGAAATGTACAAATAGCTGATTTAGCTGGAGCTGACTGCTGAAACAGTCTGGTAGGCACCAGGGTTGTGTATAGGAAAAGACAAGTTCATGGTTTTTGTAGAACCCACAAAGATTAAAGAAACATAGCTGACATTCATTCTTTCATTCATTTAGCCCTTTGTTCTTTCAGCAAATATTTGTGGGCTTACTATGTGCTCTGCTGTGTGCTCTGGGTGGTGTTGTTAAGTGCCATCGAGTCAGTTCCGACCCATGGCAACCCTATATAGGGTTCCCAAGGAACGACTGGTGAGCTTGAACTGCCAACCTTGCAGTTCAAAAGGCTTTGCAGTCTGGCGCATTAATGCACAGCGCCACACCAGGTCTCTGGGTACTCTGCTTAATTCTGAGAATAAAAGAATGATCGTATTGGCATGCTTCTTATCTTCAAGGAAAACTATTTATAGTGGTAAAAATAATTCGTCAAGCCATAAAGCAAGGTGACACTAAAGTCTTTTTAGCTAACACACACAATATATATTTGCTCTCATATATGTAAGTTCATTTTATACAGATTGAAAACTTATACCTGGTGTTCTGGCTTTCATGAGTAATCTAACGTAAGTTCCTCTCCACATGGACTGAATTTTAACTGCTGCTGCTACTTCCTCAGGAGAATACTGCTTCTCAGAAACTTGTGAAGAATATTTAACATCTACCCAGTCTGCTAAAAACAAACAAATTTTAAGGTGAAAGTTAAGTGTATTCCCTTCGTCAATTTTCATTGCCTTAATTACTAAATCCCCCTGATAAATTAAGTACCACAATAACAGACTTATATTTCAGATCACCCACTGCAAGTGTCTCTTTTTCACAGTGTAAATATTATGTAGAATGGAAACACATTGAGTATTAACAGCTTCATGAATGTCTATTGATTTTGTGTGTGTGAGAGAGAGAGACAGAGAGAGAGAAAAAGTAGCCAGATTTCTCTCATAAATGAAAGAGCAGAAATGGAAGGTTACTTGGATTAAAGCATTGCCCCAGAATTCTCAAATCATGTTATCTAGATCAGTGACTTTCACATTTGCCATGGTCAGGAAAAAATAAAAACAGAATAAAAAAAATAAAAAAAAAAAAGACTCCCCTTGCTGACGTATGTGCGGCAGGAAATAGGGGCAGGGGGTACACAACATCTTAGAACCCCTTGAGCTTCCCAGAGTTGATTTTGAACTCCATTATCTTGAATGCAGGCCTGTTTTACCTACTTTATGTAAAATTTGAGTATGTGAGGGTGACGCAGGAATGGGCTGTGTTCAGTTCCGTTGTATGTACACGTTGTACATAGCATCAGCATGCGTTGGAACAATGGTACGGTGGTAGTGTTAAGTGCCCCTGAGTTGATTCCCGCTCACAGTGACTCTGTACAGAGTTTCCGAAGCTGTAGATATTGAGGGGGCACAAAGTCTCATCTTTCCCCAGCTAAACAACTGGTGGACTTGAACCATGAACTTTGTAGTTAGCAGTATACTTCTTATCTTAAAGAGCCACAGCACTATCAAAGTTTGAGTATACTTTTCTCAAATAATTTATGATATATAAAACTAGGAAATCCTTGGTCAAGTAAGTATCAAATATTGATACATACCTAAAGATACCTCTTCCATGGATGAATCAAGTACATCCAAGTCTAAAACCAAAGCACGGAATGCAAATTTGAAGTTTGAAGGAGCTTTCACTACATGAACTGTTTTCATTAAACGCCACAAGGAAATATGAAAAAGCTGGAAAAGATAAAAAATGATATCAAGATTTGTTTATTTCAAACCAAGAAATGCTGAACTCTAGAACCAAACAAAACAGAAATGAGCTATTCTAAAACTATAAAATACATACACAGTTTCACATAAGGCTATTTGAAGTTTTATGCCCCTAGTTAAGAGACCACCAACATTACTTATCATTTGACTACTTATAGTTCTATAACATTTAGTCACTATAGCAATATTTAAGGAATCTTGACAGTGTAGTGAATTATGAGCTGGACTGCTAAATACAAGGTCAGTAATTCAAATCTACCAGTTACTTCTCTGGAGAAAGATGAGGTTTTCTGCTTCCATAAAGATTTCCAGCCTCGGAAATGCTATACAGAGTGGCTAAGAGTTGGAATTAACGTGATGGCACACAACTACCACCATCACCAAGAGCAACGTTTATAACACAAGGGACTACAAAAA